TGTCGAAAGAGAAGACTTTCACCGTGTTACCTTTCTGTTATGTCTATCTCTTTGTTAAAGCAGTGATCATGAGTTTGAATCTGTCAATTTATTTGAGTTTTTTTTTATATGAATTATAACGCAGCCAGCTTCGCCTACAACTTTGGGGAAGGAAATGGCGATTTTCGCTGTGAGGTTAAGCGAAGAAAGGAGATATCTTGCAGAAACTAAGATTAAGGGGAAGTTTGCGGGTGCTGTTGGGAATTACAACGCTCACATTTCCGCATATTCAAATATCAACTGGCCTCATGTTGCAGAGGAGTTTGTTACTTCCCTCGGGTTAACATTTAACCCATACGTGACTCAGGTACTTAGTTCTCTTGATCATACCATTTAATTCAAATACATAAAGTTCCTCAGTGATTGATTGTTCTCGCGGGTTTTGCAGATTGAACCTCATGACTACATGGCTAGACTTTTTAATACAATTAGCCAATTCAACACTATCTTAGTTGATTTTGACAGAGATATATGGAACTACATATCTCTAGGGTTCTTTAAGCAGGCAAGTATTCATAAATGAAAAAAAAAAAAGTCTGATCATTTGAATGTGAATGGGAAAACCGTCTCATTGTTTGAAGTTTTGAAGCAGATAACTAAAGCGGGTGAAATTGGATCGTCGACAATGCCCCACAAAGTGAATCCTATTGACTTTGAGAACAGTGAAGGGAATCTAGGGAAAGCAAATGCAGAGCTCACTTTTTTCAGCATGAAGCTTCCCATTTCACGAATGCAGGTTTGAGCATTTTGGTTTGAGTATTAAAGTATTATCTCCACTTGATTTGTTTATAGTAATGGAACTTAGCTTGAGAATGTGTAATCTTCAGCGTGACTTAACCGATTCAACTGTTTTGAGAAACATGGGTGGAGCTTTAGGCCACTCTCTTCTCGGTTACAAGAGCGCGATACAGGGGATTGGGAAGCTTCAGGTATCTACCATAAACCCCATGTCGATGTAATAATACTCCTGTGATATTAGAATCTCTTTCCTCAAGTTTTCTTATGCCGTTGCTCCTCATATAGGTTAATGAAGCTCGGTTAAAAGACGATTTGGATCAAAATTGGGAAGTCCTCGCTGAACCGATACAAACTGTAAGTTTCTCTACTTTCCAGTTTTCTACAACTATCTATCTAGTTATTCCATGTATTAGCGCTAATTCACGGAACTGTTATGGCATTAAACAAAAGGTGATGAGGAGATACGGTGTTCCAGAGCCGTACGAGAAGCTGAAAGAGCTAACAAGAGGAAGAGCTGTGAATGAAGAAATCATAAGAGAGTTTATCAAAAAGTTGGAATTGCCTGAAGATGCAAAATCTCAACTTTTGAAGCTAACTCCACACACATATGTTGGTGCTGCTGCTGCATTGGCTTTGGCTGTTGATGAAGCTCTGCACTTGGGACATTGATAAATGATCAAATTTGTGATAAAATTGTGTTATTGTATCATTATTGTTTTCTTTTCCATATCAAATGGAAAAAATAAGAGTCAATTTTTTAATGGTGAGAAAAATCTTGTACTATGTTAAGTTTTCACTTTGAGTTCTTCACCATCACCAATAAATCTAGAGCCTCTCTTTGAAGAAGTTATGTTGTGGTCTTGTTTTTTTCCCCCTTCTTATTGTACAATAATTTTTCAAACCAATTAAAAAATATGGTAGTTAAAAGGTCATATAAAGAAAAAAATTATTGCATTGGAGTCAAATGATAAAGAGTTCACAAGTTGAATTATTCTCTTTCAATTTGAGTGGTTTTTTGTTTTATTTCTATAATCATGTGTTTTGGATCAAAATCTAAACAAATATGAATGCACAGAGTAGTAGTTAGATAAATCAAAATTGAGAAATAATGTTAAAAATTGTTTGTCATTCAGAGCTTAAAGTAATTCTATATATTGTTATCATTTACGCGAACACGTATGTTTTTATTACATGTCTAATCTCAAATAAATATTACAAGATCTATGTAATTTTCTTGTAGAAGAAACTCATTAGTTATTCCTTTAGAGTTGGTACGATCTATTTCAAGTTTCTCAACCTATTCAACTAAAAGTCTAAACCATGTGTCTCTCAATAACTCACCCTCTAATCCATATTTGAAGTTATCTTTAACAACAATTTCTCAAAAAACATAAATGGAAAATGTCATAATCTAACATCAATTTCTTTACACAATATATAACCTTTTCCTTATTATCTTCCTACACATTGCTATCATTTTCTTATTTATGGAAACGTTTCCAAGTAACTTGATTTGACCAAAGCTACAAAATGAAGAAATATTCATTATTCCCAAAAATAAATATTATAATTATTCCTGCAAGTGTTATTTGCTCTGCGTTTACCAGTTCATGGCGGCCATAAACTCTGAAGATTTCGTCAAACATGTTTGTTCTCTAATCTTTTCAACGACTTCAAAACATAAACATATGCATAGTCATGCATTAATAATAACAAATCATTGAATCCATAATCATTTTTTTAATACAAACAAAACCAATAAGGTTTCGTCGTTACCCACTACATGTATTTTCATTTCATTACAAAACACATACAACACATCAATCATAGCAACATCTCTCTAAGATTTCATTTGCATCTTTTTTTTGGTTTTCTTGAAAAAATCAAGAATGGGAGCTTACAGAGCCGACGATGACTACGACTATCTCTTCAAATTAGTCTTGATTGGAGATTCCGGCGTCGGAAAATCCAACCTTTTGTCTCGATTCACAAGAAACGAATTCAGTATCGAGTCGAAGTCAACCATCGGTGTCGAATTCGCAACAAGAAGTGTTCATGTCGACGAGAAAATCATCAAAGCTCAGCTTTGGGATACTGCTGGTCAAGAAAGGTAAAAATCATGTGAGATCTCTCTGTTTTTCTTCCTTTCTATGTGCTCTGTTTCATCACCGGAATAGAAATAACCGGATTATACCGAACCAAACCGAAATTGCTTAAAACAAAATCAAACTGGAATTGATTTAAAATTTGTTGCTTTTATTATTTTGAAATCCATATAATTGAAATAGATTTTACGTAACCGAATGGAGTTTTACCGAAAACCCGAATTTTTAATAAACTAAAGTAAAAATTTTATATACGGGAAATTGATGTAAATCACATGAAAAATCATATAATAGTTTCTATTATGAAGTTACAGTTTTGTTTCAGCACAAAAAAAATAATTCAGAGTTGGAACTCTTTTAGTTTTATTTCAACACAAAAATAATAGTTCAATGCTTTTTATTGTTTCAATTAACATATTATTAAAAAATCAAATAAAAGACTAAACAAAACACTGCACCAACGGAAACCAAATTTACATATAGTTTTATTCGGTTTCAATTTCTATGAAACCAAAAACCAAAATCTGAACCTAAACCATATCTCAAACCGATGTTCCACCTCTGCTCTGTTTATCTATCTTTATGTTCTGTTTTTGAGAAATTTTGATTTGTTGTTCAATAGATACAGAGCAATCACGAGTGCATACTATAGAGGAGCAGTAGGAGCTCTTCTAGTATACGACATAACTCGACACATAACATTCGAAAACGTTGAAAGATGGCTCAAGGAGCTTCGTGATCATACCGATGCAAATGTCGTAATCATGCTTGTTGGAAACAAGGCCGATCTTCGTCATCTTCGTGCGGTTCCAACCGAAGAAGCTAGATCATTCTCAGAAAAAGAAAACATGTTCTTCATGGAAACTTCTGCTCTTGATGCTACAAATGTTGAGCAAGCTTTCACTCATGTCTTGACTCAGATTTATCGTGTAATGAGTCGTAAAGCTCTTGATGGAACCGGAGATCCCATGTCTTTGCCTAAAGGACAAACCATTGATATTGGAAACAAAGATGATGTTACTGCGGTTAAATCCTCTGGTTGTTGTTCAGGTTGAGATTTACTGTTTTTGTTTTTGTAAACTCTTTTGTTT